TTTCTATTTCAAGGTACTATTATTGCAGTTTTTAGTAGTCTTTCCCTATACAATTGTGGGGTTTTTTTTTTTCACTCAGAAAGGCAGAAATTGGCATTTCATCCTTTTAAATTAGCATTATTAATTTGATTCCATTATGGACTTTTATAACAATAACTTTAAATATTAAAATCATTGAATCTTAGATATCAAAAATATTTTGGATTTTTTTCCATAAAAGTCAAAATAAGCAGAATGGAGACGATGATAATCTCCATAGTTTAGAATTATGTCTTCTTCCCTACATATCCATTCTGTGATTCTTTAAACTTTATTTTATCTTTGTGTGTGTGATTTGAATATTTGTTAACTATTATTAGTGACACTAATTTGGTTTCCAGTTATCAAAAATTGAAATAGATACAGTGATATATAATCTGATATTCTGTACATCACTGAAACAGATAGCCAGAACTGTAATCATCATTCTGAATTTTGCAGATATCAACCATGTTAACATATTAGGGATAGTATAACTTATAGCAGAAAATAGAACAAGACACATATATCTCCTGGAGTATCTGCTCCTCTATATATTTGCATCAAAATGGATAAATACATAAACAAAATATTGTATAGCCCTTCAATGGAATATTGTTCAGCCTTAAGAAGGAAGGGCATTCTGGAACATGCTAAAGCATGGATGAATCTTGAAGAATTTCTAAGTGAAATAAATGGTCAAAGCAGGACAAATATTTTGTTATTCCATCCTTTTTAAACAAAAGTATACATATTCTACTTAATATATGCATTTGTTTTTTAGCATTTAAAACAACAATAGCAAAAAGTTATATTTTTTATTTAAATATTATATATTTAGTAGAGATCTGTCCTAAGAAAAAATTAGTTCCTTGAAAGGGATGTTACTTTGTTAGTCTAATAATTGAAATTAAATTTTAGTCTACCTGAATGAAATAGTGTTATTTCAAAGGTTTAAAATAATTAGAAATCTTATATTTTTAAAACTTCAACCATATTAAATACGTTTAAAAACATATTTTACAAAATTTGTGAACCAATTCTGAGGTGTGAATAATATATAGATGATTTATTTTATTATAATCATAGAATTTTATAATATGAAATTGTTTTAAGTCTTTGCAAATGAGAATAAAAAACACTTTGTAATAAGAAATTGGGTTGCTCTATGGAATCTAACACCACTAAGAAAGTTGTCTGCTTCTTAAATATTTGCCAGTAAATCAGCAATTTATAGCAGATGTGTCTTTTGTATTAGCATCAAATCTTTTTATAACAATCTATGAGATTTGTATTTTGTTTCTTTGTGGGCTTCAGGAAATGTTTTTTGGTCAAGTCATATCTGTCAAACACCAATCCACTTTGTGCATGTTATAGTTAAAGTAGGCAACTAAACATAACCTTAACAATCCTCAGTGGTTTCACATCCTTTGTTTAAATCATCAGAATTTAATATCCCTCTTACTGTAATGCCTCTTCTTCTAATCACCAGGTAGTATAGATCTGATATAAATAGGAACCATTAAAAATTATAATTAATCTTCCATTTTTAGTTTTAATAGAAAACAAAAGATGTCAAATTAATTCAATTCATTCCATACTTATTTGTTAAAACAAAATAGATTCCCTTATTTTTCTGCTCCTTTTTTCTTATTTTTAATTTTATGCTACATTTTTAGACTTTTTGATTTTCTTCCACTTTTTTTGTTCATTTAAGTACTTACCATTTTTCTTGGAGTCTCTTTGCTCTGTAGAATAAAAAAAAAATCACAAGAAATTGCAGCATTTATGGTATTTTATTAATCTATTTGGCTAATGGCATTGAAAAAAGAAACAAGGATCACAGAAGCCAAAAGTTCTAGAGAAGCAGAAGGAAGAAAGAAACAGATTTACTTAGAAACTATTATGGTAGGTAAGTAAAATCTGTGAGATAATAATAACTGGAATATTAATATATAATTTTTGGGGAAAAATGTGCTTTTCCAAAGGCCCTCTCAAAAACACCAGTTATCAGTTATCATCATCATCATCATTTAGTTAGTTAGTTTTTGCCATACTGGATGGGAATCCAGGTCTTGTACATGCTAGGCAAGTGCTCTAAGAAGTTACTACTAAGCTTATCTACAACTCCAGTAACCAATACACACACACACACACACACACACACACACACACACACAGACACACACACACACACACATCACTACTATGATAGCTGAGCATTTTGGAATATACCTGTAATCCCAGTGACTTGGGAGCTGAGGTAAGAGAATTACAAATTCAAAGCCAGCCTCAGCAATTTAGCAAGACCTTGTCTCAAAAAAAAAAAAAAAAAAAAAAAGGAAAAGAGAGAGAAAGAGAAAAGAAAAAAGCTGGGGCTGTAGCTCAGTGATTAAGTACACCTGGGTTCAATCCCCAGTACTAAAATAACAATAATAATAGGATAGACTAAAAACATAAATAAAATACTGCTATAATCATAAACTTTATTTATCAACTTAAAGTATGTTTTGGATTAGTTTAGCATTTAAATGAGTAAATTTTAGGTGAATCAGTTCATCCTACAGACTATGGATGGCCTTTATGTATTCAGTTGATTGGAAAAATAGGACTAACTTCTCAAAACAAGAGGGAATTTTGTGTCCAATTTCTTATAATAAATCCTTTTATACAATTTTTATTCCATTTCTCTGAAGAATCCTGGAAATATTAAGAATTACTTTTCACACAGAAGGTGAAATTTTATGATGAAGTTAGAAACAAATCCTAAATATATCTAAGTTTTTCTTATGAAATTATTAGTACATTACACTGATGAGTTGTAGATATGTAAACTTTTGTAATTAATTTGTAAATATGTAATTCTTTGTATTCATAGAAAGAATACCATATGAACCCCAATAGATACAGCTTTTGAAATTAATATGGCCTCTCTTATTACTTCTTATATATATATATTGACTTACTCTAGTATTTATATATATATATAAATAATTCTCATTTACATTTAAAAATAAAAATTCTCAAAGTTAATCACTTTACTAATTTTCTTACAACTGTGTGATTAAAGTGTTCTTTTTAATCTTTGAGGGGAAAAATATGGCCAGAGTTTTCTGACTCAAGTACATTGAAAAGTTATCTAAAACAAAAAAAAATTAAAAATAAATAAAACTTGGAAGCGAATACTGAATGTCCTTCCTTAACCTGAAGAAAAAATGGTCAGAGATTTCGTTGATCAATTTAGAGCAATATACTCTTTCTAGCCATCTGTTTCATAGAATTAATAGGCAATTAGTTTTGTCAAACAAAGAACTCATTCCAAATTCATAGGCTACAGAAAATATTTGCAAATGAGGTCAGAAAGTAATTAAGGGAAATACTTTGAGAAGCTAAATACTTTTTAAACACTTCTTTAACAAAATGTTATGAATAAATAGACATTTATTAAGATATTCATTCTTTTGTTTTTCTTTACTTTTTTAACTTTTTTAAAAAAATTTTATTTCTTTATTTGTTCTTTTTAGATACATGAAAGTAGAGTGTCATCTGACATATTCTAAATACATGGATAATAATAGTTTTATAGATATAATTTACATACAGGAAACCACCCATTGAAAATCCTAATGGTGTGTTTGGATGGGAGGTGGGCCTCAAAAGCTCCTGTTGATACAGAAATGTTGTGACGTGAAATGATTGGACTCTGAGAGCTGTGACATACATCCTAGTTTGAATGGACCAACTGGGTAATAACTCTAGACAGGTGAGGTGTGGCTAAAGGAGATGGGTTACTGGGGCATGCCCTGGAAAGATTCATCTTCCCTGTCACTCCTCCCTCATTCCCTCTTCCTGCTTCTTTGCTGCCATTTCCTGAGCATCTTTCCTTGGCTAAGCCCTTGTGTCATGATGTGCTGCCTCAACCTGGGCCCAGAGAAATGGACTTAGCCAACCAAGGACTAAGTTTCTGAAACGATGAGCCAAAATAAACTTGTTCTTATCAGGTATTTTGGTCACGATGAGGAAAAGTTGACCAACACAAAAGTATATAATAAAATATATTTTAGTATATGGCATCCACAGAGGTGTGCGATCTTCATCATAATCTAAGAATAGTTTTATTATACAAAAAGTAAAGTCATACCTCCCAATCAACAACCCCTCATTATCACCACCAGCCTCATCTTCTATTTCTGTAAATCATTCTATTGATAGCATTTTTGGTAAATGGAATCATAATTTAATTGTATGTAAGCATACAATTAACAGCTAATGTTTTTAAGTTTTGTCTGTATTTTAGCATGTTCCTGAGTTTTTTTTATTATTATTTTCTGAATAGAGTTTTATTATATGGGTACACAATATTTGGTTTCTCATTTTAGCAGTTGGTGTCCATTCAGTTTGCTTCTACTTTTTAGTTATATTGCTTTTGTGAACATTCATGCCCACAATTTTGTTTGAGTATCTGTTTACAGTATTCTTGGCTTTATACCTGAGAATAAAATTATAGGGTCACAGAGTTACTCTATGTTTAACACTCTCAGGAAGCTGTTTTCCAAATTCACTGCACCTTTTTAAGTCAAACCAGCAATGTATAATGTTTCAAATTTCTCCACAACCTGCTGTCACTCATTATTATCAATATTTTTATTTTAGCCATTATAGTGGTTTGAATTTTCATTTGTTCAATGTCTATTTACTCATTAAACATTTTCTATATTTTCTTTAGATAAATATCCATTAAAATCTTTGCTTATTCTTAAAAATTGTGACATATAATAGTCTCACAAATAATACATGTTCAATAAATACATGTAGAATAACTGGAAATGATATTTTTAGTTATATTTGCTAATCAGTGGGTCATATACTTAGTATGTGTGCATCTTTTTGTATTACCATAAAAGAAACTAATTAAATCTCTAACTAAAATTTCCTACATTCAATATCATTTTTAAGATAAATTATTTTAATCTTTTTCTCAGATCTGGAAGGAACAACAATATCTGCTATCAACATGTAAATGGAAGTCATACCCAGTTCCAGAGGAAGAAAAAATAAGAGGTTGGCAGAAAAAGAAACAAGAAGTGCTATTGTTCAGATGACATGAGTGCATTTGCAGAACATCCAAAAGGATCTGCAAATTATAATAATTCAAATGATAACTTGGCAAGATTACTCGATACAGGTAAGTTCAACTGTATTTTTATATAACAGAAATAAAGTATTATAAAATTAAACTTTAAAAATCATACTGTTTACAATTAAAGATGTACAAGACTTCTACAAAGAAAAGTACAAAACATTGTTGATTGAAATTTAAGAAAATATAAACAAATGGAAAAAATTGAAATATTCAAAAACTGAAACAATATTTTTAAAATGCTAATTACTCCCAAATATCCTTAAATTTAATGCAATTCCAAAGCTCCAGCAACTTTATTACATATCAATAGGTTGATTTGAAAATTCATAGAGAATTAGGAAGTTCAAGAATAGCCGCAATAATCTTAAAAAAGAGAGGGAGTAAAAGGTGGAGTTAAAATAATATAAGTCAGAAAATCTTATAAACCTAAAGTAATTAAGAAAACGTAATAAGATTGAAAAACATACCAATGGAACCTAACAGTATCTAGAAAGAACATATGTGCAAATTTATGATATATACATGTGTGTATACATATATACATATACACACACACATATATGTGTATATATAGTTGCATAAGTATCACTGAAACCCAGTGAACAAAGGAAGCCCTTTCAAAAGTATATTTTGTGGATAAATTTACACTCAACTACATGCTGGATGGATTGTAGATCTTACAGTGGAAAAAATTAAAAATAATAAATAAAACTGCTATCCAACACAATAAACTAGACTAGCAAAATGTCGCTATACTAATTTGAATTAAAAAATTTAAATTCTGATATCAGTAGTAACACCCACATATCAAAAGCTCAATAGCCAGTTCGTGACTAAAGAAATAATTAGCACAAATTTAGAACTTCCTTTTTCATCGTCATGTAAAGTTCGGTTTGTTAACTCAGTCCTAAAAAATACAAATAGAGAATATCGTCATGAACTTGGGCAAAGATTTCTTAAGTAGAAAAGATTAAAGCACTAAAAGTGAAGCCAGTTTTGATGATAAGTGAACAACTTTACTATGAAGAACTTTTATCAATCAAATATATCAAACGTGAGTAAAAGGTAATTCACTAAGTATAACAATATATTTTAATTATACATATCTGAAAATTAAATTATATACACACAGCACATAATTGAAGAATTCCTATAAAGAGTGAGGAAAACACAGTCAATAAAATAGAAAAAAGTAAAGCAGGGATTTCAACTGGTGCGTCATAGAAAAAAAGTAACAAATGTGCAAACAACATAAAAGTATGGTTGACTTCAGTAATCATCCAAAAAATGAACATCAAAGTTAAAAAAAGGTCTCTTTCTCTCTCTCTCTCTCTCCTTCTCTCTCTCTCTC